ACTGGCTGGGGCACAAGTCTTAAAGTTGCCAAAGTTGGACAACCCTGATTTAGCCACAGCTTGCTAACAAACTAGACGAGTTTGCTTGAAATCTCATGTTGCTTTCTTAATTGAAAACAATGCATTCAGATTTGGACTTATTAATACATTGTGCATTCAGATCTAAATAGGCAATTTTATTCTGCCCCAGTTTCTTACATATAGTTATATAGAGCAGGATGAATGTCTTGGCCTTTTACCATGGTGAATCAAGAAAGAGATAGCCCAGCAGCTTTCAATTCTTTCTCTCAGTTCAAAGGGGTCACAAATAGACCAACTTAATGGATCCCACTATCATGTTTGAACATACACATTATTTAATGCCATTTGGCAGGGCTCATGCAGTGAAGAAAATGTAATAAAGATGCTTCCGAATAGATAGTATATGTTGAAAACATAAATTCAGTTTTCTCCCACTGTAATTTGTGGCACTCCTACAAAAATCAGCTATAATGTAAAATAAGACAGGTTCTAAGGACAGCAACATATTTTATTAATAAATTACTTCCAATCATCTCTCTAAAACAGACATGTCAAACTTGCAACGTATCGGGACAATGTGCCGGCAATGGGGTGGGTGCGGCTTCCAAATGACGCATCCAGCCTGCGGGCCGGCAGTTTGACATCCCTGTTCTAAAAGGAGAGATGTAGATATCATATTTATACTGAAGCATTTTGGACCACCTTGATCCTTGTGTGCAGTAAAGCATTAACTTGTCTCTTGGTCTCCTTAGGATAACATCAACATTGATGAAGCTGCTCGGTTTTTGGTGGAAAACATCCTTGCCAATCTGAAAGCCTTCCCAAATGAAGAGAATGACGTTGATAAATTGAAACTGGACCTGGATCCCCTAAAAGCAGAAAGTAAATCCCAGTGTTGCTAGACATATGTCTTGCATCAATACATCATGAAAGCAGGATGTTTGTCTTCCTCATGTTGGACAGCTGCTGTGGTGCTTAATCACACAACTATCTTGTGGGGTATTAAGTTCTTCACAATCCAAGGTGTTTACATTTTTTAAAAACTCAAATAAGACTTAAGAGTTTCACGTATACTATGTTCTTATTGGTAAGCTATTTAGTATAGTCACAAGCTGACATCCCTCTAAAAACAGGTAGGATCTAGATGAAAGACTTGGCTTCAATTGCTGATTAACATGTTGTAATTGCAGAACTAGAGTAGGAAAGGCAGTTCAGTTGAAATTACTCATTTTGATAAGGACTATACATTTCCTTATTTTTAAAAAATATAGGTCAAATTTCTTTACCTCCTTGCTCTAATATTGCCTGTCTTCTGTTTAACACTAGGACTCTGAAACAAAAAGATTCCCGAGCCATAAAATGCTTGGGAGCCATAACTGATTCTGAGGCAGGACTGAGCAGGGATTCCTCATTTATAATGTGCCTTAAAGTATATAAGAATCTAATGCTTGGAATATAAGGGTAGTTGGCTAGTGTGAAGGTACTAAGAATATATTTGTGCAATCCATCAAATGAGTACAACTCATTTCTGACTGTTTTGGATGAGACATTCTCTGTTATATTTTCACAGGTTAACTAAAATATGAAAAATAAGTTATACCTTACTGTACAAGGACAGTTTTTTTCTCCAAAAAAAGATTTCATGCTATCTGGGCTTTTATGAAACCATTCTTTAACAGAAAACTATCTTTTAAATCAGAGGTGATTTAATTTACAAATAGTCATTTTAAACGCAGGCTATTTTTTTATAGATGTAATATTTCGCCAATGAATTATTTAACACAGGGAATTAAGAATTGATAAGGGGGCATACTTTCAGGCACAAGAATAATTTGCAAATGTACAATATACACCTGAGTCCTAAAAATATTCATTGTTATTTGTGGTATCTATGAATGTTTGGAGAAAAGACTACAAAGAAATACTTTCACCAATTGCAAATAATATTTAAATCTGTGGGTTCAACTCTGTTTTCTGTATATTATACTGATCATATGTAACCTGTCACCTGCTTCAAACTGTAAAGAACTTTGGATTACAGTAACACTCTTCAGATTTAGACTGGGTCATATATGTATTTTTGTGTATCTGATGCTATATTTAATATTAATGCAAGCTATATAATAAAAATACTTGGATTTTTATATGATAGTGTCAGGTACATTGTCACTTGTACAAATAGAAGAATACAAAGAACGTGTCTCAGGTTGAAAATCTTATATTCTAGGCCTGTGCTAGCTTTGTGGAAATTTATATAAAGTCAGCTATGTTTTAAATCTTGGTTTGTCAAAATGTTCTATGTTCCTATAGTTTTCTACTTAAATGCTGAATGTTCTTCAATATATTAAGTTCAAATTCCAAAATGAACAAATCATTTTAAGCAAAAAAAAAAAATCAATGTGCTTTATGAAGAAAAATAAATAGACCATAAAATTACAAAAAGTTCTAAAAGTACAACTGATTTGGAAAGTACATGTTTATTCATCTCAATCCTTGTTCTTGAAACACAAATACAGAATGATTTTCAACAGGCTTTCTAGAAGTTACTTTTAAGTATAACCCTCAGGACAAAAAACACCTACACTTGCATGGATTCATGCTGAATATGAGATTTATAGTGCTTGCTAACTTAAGATAATAAAGTTTTGTGTCCCTCACTTTAGATTAGGTGTGTCAAACTGCCGGCTCGGGCTGGATGGGTCGTGCCGAAACCGCACCCACCCCATTGTCAGCAATGGAAAAAAAAGTCACGATACGTCGCAACACGTCACGTGACGTTGCGAGTTTGACACCCCTGCTTTAGATCATCTTCAGTGAGAAAATATTATACTTTTTCCTAATATGGAAATCAGTTGCTTTGCTTGAATAATATCACATTTTTAAAACCAGATTATTTTTCAATTATAATTTCATATTTCCCTTCTTCAAACTCTAGCAACATGTTTGCCTTACCTTATGTATCTGAATTATTGACAAAGCATATTCTGAGAACTGTAGAATTATTGAAGTGCTGAACAATTTAGTTTTGTATTATAAAGTTTAATAGGTTTGTGATTGAAGAAATAAATATATTAAGAATTTTAGAAGGAGAGAGAATGCTTTTCCCCCACATTCAGATGACTGGGATCATTTCCCCATTTTATATCATCTGGTTCTGAACATTTTAATACTTTTATACAAAACAAATGCAGTTGGCAGCAATTACATTATTAAACAATGAACACGTCATTTATATGTTTATATTACAAAATGTAATATATTCATTTGAAAAGCACCAAATCGGGAGCCCATTAAATGGCTGGTATGAGTGTATGTTGTTGCTTGGGGGGGTTATTTTTTATTTTTATTATTTTTATTACTTTTACATTGTTTTTATTTCCTGTAAGCCGCCTTGAGTTGCCGTGAGTAGGCAGCAATATAAATTTTCCTAAATGGATAAATAAATGTTCTCAATAAGAAAACCATGCTGTTTCTAGACAAGCATGATAAAGATTGCCGTAATGGCCTATGCTAATAGACAAAACTCTTAATGTGAAAAATAGTTGCAAAGTTTAGCATAAACTTAAAAGCCGGAGATCTTAACATTTCTACATTCTGTGCAATTTCTTATAACTAACAGAATAAGATAAGTAGTAGAGCTTTCCAGAGAGATAGCTGTTAGTCTGTGCCAACAAAATGACAAATACTTGTGACACTTTAGGGAATAGCATAAAAATTTACTTTTTATACTTTTTATAAAAAAAAGCTTCTATAGCTTTTCCAAAATATTATAAAAATTACTTTAAAGCTTTGTGCATCCGATGGATGTATACTGTAGTCCATAGAAATTTGAGCCGTAACAAATGTGTTAATCTACCGTAATATGCCAAAAGACTCATTATTTATACTAGTTCAAGTTATCAACAGCTACATTCCTTTTTAGGGGTATTGTAAATCCTCATTTAGTGTATTTCAAGCTGTAAATCATATTTCCTGTCCTAGGTGAGGAACTGAAAAGAGAATAAAAAATACAGATCCTAACTGTTGAAGATACATTTATTGTTAGAAGCAAATAATTTGTGAAAACCTGAAATTATTCCTCTGCAAATTTGACTATTGTATGGTGGTATGTCACTTTAAACCAGTCTTCTTCCATCTGTTCCCTTACAGATATATTTTATTATCAGATCTTGAGAACAAGAGTACACATGATAGGCATCTGGTTTGCAGAAACGGATGAGTTCAGTGAAACATTTTTGTATTCAAGATCTTATCTATAGAATCATGGCACGCTAACATTTAAAAAAAGATGCCCCAGTGTTCTTTATTACTATCTTAGTATTTATAAAATAGAGGCATATATCAGATTGTTAAAAAGGGTACTAATACTTCATTTACATAAAACACTCCTAGAAAAGTGAGAAAATAATCCAACAACAAAGTCTAGTTCAAATCTACATAATCTTATGACACTGGTTTGAAAGCAATGATTAAACTTGGAGGAATTAACTCCTAAGCAACATTCTTAAAATAACCCTGCAAAAGCTAGTTAAGATGTAAGCAATGCATAGCAACAACAAACATCTACACCAGTTTACTCAGAAGTAAGGCCCACGGAGCTCAGTTTGAGTTACAAATGTTTGTATAGATTGTACCAAAGTTATACTTGGAGATGCTCAAAAATTTATATGACTTATAAGTGCCTTGCTATTAAAAAGATTTCTTCTCTAAATTACATAGTGTGAATAGAAAACAAATATACAAATGGGAATAGTTGAATTTTCTACCCTAGCTAGTATTTCACATACTATGGACGTAATCCTAAATTTAATGTTGATGTGAATCTGACTCTTGGTGATTCTATGGGCCAGGCCTTTCCATGTCTCCTAAATTTAATAGGATGCTGCAACCTTCTTATACATTTATGTTTCAATAAAGACATATCTTTTTAGAGTAAATTAACTTCATTAGTAAACAGGGTTATTTCAGGGAACACTCACCAAAGGTTACACATTCTATGCTGCTTTTGGCATTTGCTTCAGGTTAAAGGGATAGGATCCTATAGAAAAGTAGAAGAGATTTCCAGATCAGCTCCTGCAGGAATGCACAACACCTGTCAATTCAAGGATCATGCCAAATTTTGTGCAATACATAAGAGTGCACTGAAAGTGAGTGGAACAATGATTTTGAGAGAAATAATGGTTACCTTAAACCAGTGGTTCTCAACCTGTGGGTCGGGACCCCATTTGGGATCAAATGACCATTTCACGGGGTTCGCCAAACAATGCAGTCCGCCATTTTTTTTTCCTTTTCCTTAGCTGTGCTACTCCCTTTTATTCTATTGGCTTTTGAAAGCCAATAGAATAGACTCTCTTGAATAGAGTCTAATTCTATTGGCTTTCAAAAGCCAATAGGAATTGTCCAGGCTGTCTCTGCCCTGCTGAGCCCACCAAAAGTCCCAATCTGCAAACGGTGCTGCACCAGTTGAGTAGTCCTCGACTTACGACCGGTTGAGTAGTCCTCGACTTATGACCGGTTGGGGGTCGCGGCATTATAAAGGTTGAGAACCACTGCCTTAAACCCATGTATTTGTCTCTTAAAAACATTTTTAAAAAAGAGTTAAAGATGTTTTTTACACCATGAGCTTACGAATAAACTCAAGTTCAGCTCTGCTGAGTACAAGATCTTAAATACCAATATAGGGTTCTCAAGAGTTGATGGTCCAGAACTTTGTGCAGAGTTCCTCCTCCTCCTCCTCCATTTATTCTCAAGGTTAGTCTCTTTCACTTTATCATTTCATCAAATATCATTGTTTATATTTCCCATTTATATACTGTTAACTCCTGATATTTTTGTGATGTTATTTTTTACTTTATTCCAAATACCGGTAGCTTCTGTATTGTCTCCCTTAAGACTACTTTCCATTCAATCTGTTGGGAGCTTATTTTCTATTTTTTCCCCCACAGGGCTCTTACTTTCTCCACTGATTCTATTTTATTCATTTTTCACTTTTTTTCCTTTTATTCCATGTCCTTTCTCCCCCAAGATCCACATTTGACACCATTAAATAATGGTGTGACTCCATTCAAAAGCTGTCATCACTGTATACTTCACTAACTCAATCTTCCAATATAAAATGGCAAAACAATCATGGTTTTCAATTGTATTAATTTCTTTCATATATACACAGGGACAAAGTTAACATATTTGAAATACAAATCTTTACTAAGGAAATTTTCAATAATTACCATATTCATGACAATATATGATATATTCTCTATATACATATCTTTGTGATTCTTCATTTCTTATAGCAATCATTTTCTACGATACATTTTTCTCATCCCCACCTATTTTTAACTTCTTTATTGCACAAAGTATTTCCTATTAGCATACATCCACACACTTCTGTGGCACTCTTAATTTATTTCACTCTGTTCCAAATAGCTTCCACGTTTCACAGTAAACTTTCATGACATCCAATTTTGTTCTATTTGTGAGAAACTATGTTTCTATCATTCTCTCCCTGCAGTTGTTCCCATCTCATATTCTTCAATTATCAGTTCCTTGGAACTTAAAATGAAACTATCACCGATCTCTGAATTCCTACATTTATATACATCTATAATCACCAATTCATACTTTCTGATATACATTTTAGCCCTTTCATTTATAGTGGAACTTACATTTTTACTTCCCTAGTGTGTCACAATTGCTTCTGAAGCACTGTGATATTATTCCATCTTTTGTTACTACTGGGTTTCTACTTCGCTTGAGCAACGCCCTCTGCTTCGGGTCCAGTCGAGTTCTACTTTTGCTAACTTTGTAGACATGCCCAGATTCTTTTCATTTCTTTTCGGCACTGGCATTCACACCACAATTGCATTGCCAATGCCTTCTTCTGTGAAGTTTTTCGGCTCCTTGGAACAAAGAGCTGCAGAGAGCGAGCGAGCGAGCGAGAGAGAGAAAAAATCTATTGTGTAGGTCTTCCTACCGGAAGGTGTTGTTTCGTGTCACTTTCTTCCGGTGTAACGCACAAGAAGCAGCCGAGGGCGTCTCCTAGCAACCAAGTAGCAGACGCTTGAGGCAGTGAGGGAGACGATCTTGGCCGAGAGGGTCCAACCATGTCGAAGTTCGGCAAAAAGAAGGAGGCGGTGAAATCCAACAATGTTCTCCAGTCAAATGTGCCCACGAAAGAGTAAGACCTGCCCTTTTCGCTGGAAGCGCTTTTTTCTTAATCTTTTCCTCTCTGCCCCGCTTTCCGCTGGCAAGACGAGGCTGGTGTCACACCTAGGTGGACTCCTCCTCCCAGTCCTTGGGATACTCCTCCCTTTGAAATAAAGCGGGTTGTCAGTTACCTCCGATCGTGCGGAATAATGATAAGAATGTCTGAATGTGATCTGGGCTTAAGTGTAGACTGTTTTAAGTTGTCAAGAGTGCCTGGAGTTGTAACGATTGGGAGAGTATAAACAAACCATGTATGTTGCCCTGGGTTCCATAGAGAAGGGATAACAATAAATGACACATTGCAGCTGCTTTATTATTTTGGCAAAGAGTAAGTGCAAGCTAATTTATGGATCCAAATATAGTACTTTAATCTGAGAATGCAGTGATGCAGACTTAATTTTTATACAACAGTATGCTACTCTGCTACTTTTATCAAATTGAAACACAAAAAGTTTTTTTGCTTCACTTTTGTGCAACTCAGTTTCATTTTCCAACCCAATGTCTGTGTAATCAAATACCGCTTCATTTGTACTCAGCCTTTACTGATTAATTTGTGGGGCTTTCTCATGGATAAATTAAAAGATATCAGGAATTTCAATCTAATAATGAAACACAATATAATCGCATGATTTCAGGAAGCACATTTTGTCTGTCATCAAATATGCAGATTGCTGAAGTGAAGTATAAATTAACAATATTCCCATTTTTCTGGTTAGTTTCAATTTTACTAAGTAACCATTTGTACTTAGGAGCTTTTCAAAAATTGAAAACAAATATGAAAATATTTGCCATGTAAGAAGAAAATAGCATGTTAGAAGAATATAGTAAACTTTTCATATTTGTATTATATTTCAGCCTCTGGTTTCTTTCGGGATCAGCTTCTAGTGTAAATCCTCAAGGTACTTCACCTGAGTCAAAGAAAGGAAGATTTCCTATCTGGCCAGAATGGAGTGAAGCAGACATCAATGTAGAAAAGTGGGATGCTGGAAAAGGTGGAAAGGAAAAAGATAAATCTGGAAGAAGCCCTATTCTGGTACTTTTCCTATAAACTTATCTCTTTTTTTCTAATTCATCAATATATAGAAATTTATTCTTCTTGCATTTTTCTTACCTATTGAACTTTGAAGCTTAGTTGGGTGCCAATCTGGAAAGTTTGCATCCCATATGTGATACATGAGAAGAATTGTGGAGGGAAAGGTTACTGTGGGTTTGTGGGGTTTTTTTTGACACTTTAATCACTGGGTGCAGTGCTTAAATCCAAGTGCTTAAATCACCAATGATCTGTTTGTTGGCTAATTGAGCTAGCTAATATTTGAGTTATAAAAATATTCAGCTTCATCATAACTCGTGGGAGGAGAGCATGGCATTGGGGAATGATGTTTCTGCCTTTTATTTTGAGTTTGAAAATATGGGGAGAAGACTTGTATTAACTTGTAGTAAGTTTTCCACATGTCGGTCAGCATCTATGACTCAACTTTACCAATGCTTTGCCTGTGCATATGTGTATTTCATGACTGTTATTTGATTGGTTATGTATTTTGATTGCTGCACTTGTTTCAGTGTGTCATAGTTTTGACACGCAGATCTGAATCTGCTTCTAATATTTCAGGAGAGAATTTGGAATTTGATCAGGGGCAGTTGTTTGTCTTTTTGTTTTATAAGTGAACAAACAGTAAGTGAAGAACAGCAGAATGCTCCTTTAGCACACCCTTTAGACTCTCTGTTGCTTTTTTTAGCATTATAGTTGGGTTTCCCTCTGTGAAGCTTGCTAGACTGGTGGAGTTGCAACCTAGAAATTTCTCTGTCAATATCTTCCTTGTCCTTTGCAATGGAGAGTTGTCAAGTGATAGTGGTGAGAAACACTAATAATAATAATAATAATAATAGTTGGAAGGGACCTTGGAGGTCATCAAGTCGAACCCCCTGCTCAGGCAGGTAACCCTATACCATTTTGGACAAATGGCTGTCCAGTTTCTTCTTAAAAACTTCCGGTGTTGGAGCATTCACCGCTTCTGGAGGCAGGTTATTCCACTGTTTAATTGTTCTAACTGTCAGGAAGTTTCTCCTTAGTTCTAGGTTGCTTCTCTCCTTGGTTAGTTTCCATCCATTGCTTCTTGTCCTGCCTTCAGGTGCTTTGGAAAATAGCTTGACTCCCTCTTCTTTGTGGCAGCCCCTGAGATATTGGACACTGCTATCATGTCCCCCCTCGTCCTTCTCTTCATTAAACTAGACATACCCAATTCCAGCAAAAGGCTAAATGCAGACCCTCTACAATAAATTTAAGATTTATGGTTTCTGAATTGACTTCTCATTTATTCCATATATCCTGTTATTAAAAATGAGAATGGTGGCAGAGGGCTGGTAGATGGTAAAGAAGCTGTTTTGTCTGTTATCAACCTGCCCAATGTGTATACAGAGTAAATACTATAGTGGACAATGAAGATGTCTCTATTTAAGACTTGTAATTGTTATAATATATTAGACATGGTTATAAAAAATAATCACATCGCAATTCAGGAAATAATCGCCAACATTTTCTAATTGGCATAATTAGAAAAAAAAATCTTTCCACAGAGAATAGTTTTACATTTTATTTTAAACTCCCACCCATAGGCCAAAAAGAAATAGATGCAAAATTTTGGGGCTATTTCCTCTGGTGACATTACTTACATTACTCAGAATCATAGAAATTTTACCAATTCGGCATTAAAGAGTCAGCTGTTAGGATTTGCTTTAAATATAAGAATACTTAGATTAACTCAGATCAGTTCATTAAATTAGCAGTTGGATTTGACTGAACGGATAACATCAAAGTACCACTAAGTTCATTTAGTAAGGTCTAGATATGATTAAATAAAAATTCAACTAATGTTTGTTTCAATTAATGTTGCACAAAGCATGTCTTTGAAGATCCAGAAGGAAAACTTGAACTTCCCTCTTCATTGAAAGTGAGTTTCTGGAAAAGGCCTCAAGAAATTTTAACAAATAAGGTAAGATGCACCTAATTTCCAGTTATCTATTTAAAATTTTGATTTTCTTTTTTAAAAGGTTTATTTTTTAACTTGGAGAATGCACAATAATATAGAAAAAAGAATCGGAGTATCCTTTTATTGCAAAACCAATGATTTCTAGAAATGTGAAATGGGTTTCTTATAATTTAAAAGCTCACACTGAGCTCTTCAACAGGTTTTTACAAAAGGTTTGTCTTATTTTTTTGCACATATGATTTAGGCATGCCCATTTAATTATATTGTTAGCTATTAGATAGATAAATGCTGGGTCCAGATCTTGGAAGGAAATAAGATTCAAAGATGTAAATATAACATTATATTCCCAAAATTTGGAAGTTGTCTATATATATGAAAAATTATATATTATGCCTACATAGTACATAGTACATACATAGTAGCAGAAAAGATAATTTTGTATTTGAAATATATACATTTACCAGAATTTAATTTTTTTTTTTAATAAAATAGCCCTCAGCCTTTGAGCTGGCCTTGCATTGATGGAGAGAAAAAGGGTTAACTATATAATTCCATATAGTCCATGTTTAATTTACTGTTTAAAACTAAATAACATAAATATACAAGTAGTCCTTGAATTACAACCATTAGTTTAGCAACCGTTCAAAATTATAGCAGCATGGAAAAAAGTGACTTGTAAATGGTCCTCGTACTTATGACTGTCACAGCATCCCCATGGTTCCTTGATCAAAATTTAGGCGCTTGGCAACTGACATTTATTTACAATGATTGCAGCATCCCTGGGTTCTAGGATCACCATTTGCAACTTTTTCAGCCAACTTCTGAGAAGCAAAGTCAATGGGGGAAACCAGATTCATTTAACAACCACATGATTCACATAACAACTGCAGTGATTTGCTTAACAATCATGGAAAAAAAGATTGTAAAATTGGATGCAACTCATTTGATAACTTCCTTGCTTAGCAAAAGAAATTCTGGTCTCAGTGGTTGTTATAAATTGAGGACTCTCTGTATTATTCTTATTTTGAAAAATAGTGTTTGCTGCCTCTGTACTTACACCATTTCAATATTTACTTTGGAAAAATAATGTTACAGCTGTCTGATAACCTTTCTGCTTGAGGGAAAAAAGTATTCTTTTTTTTTTTCAATGAAAGTTTAAAGGCACACAATTGTCTAAATCAGATTTCAAGAATTTGGCCAGAATTACCTAAATCAGATTTCAAGAATTTGGAATTTCTATTCATCCAATAGTTTTTATATTTGTCCTATAGTCATATTTATTCAGAGATTCTGAAGGGTTTTCAAGTTTTCCTCAAATATATGTATAAAGAGAAAAACAGAATATGTCACCATGGAAGACATTACCTCTTCATACGTTTTTTGACCATTTCATATTAACAGTATTCTGGATACCTGATTTGTTACGAACACAGTGTATATTGCTCAGCATACTTTCTTAATCAGTGTACATCTTTTGAGATATACTTTGATATATATAGCTTTGATCCATGAAATATATGGATTTTCATTCTAATATTATTAACAATTCATGTATATGTTAATAGAATAATTAAATTTCTCATTACTTTTAGGTTCCTGTGGTAGTAAAAAATGAAAATTGGTTTGATCTTTTTTCACCAAACGAACATTTAATGGGCAGTGAGGTATGGAATAATCATCCTTTATAAGAAATAACATACATTGAATGTGTATTTGGATGAAATAAATATTTGTTGTTGCAAAAGTATGAAAGTGACTTTGATCTGAAAAAAAC